GGCCTTTGTTATTGGGCCTAAGTCTGTTTAGTGTTTTAAGCAGTCTGGGTGTCCCATCACTAATCAGGGGCATTCCAGACATTTCATGTAACACTGTATTGTAATCTACTATAAATAATAGTACTGTCGACTGGGTTACTTAGTTCGACATTCTCAGAACTTGTTTGCCTTCACCTCTCTTCTACTACTTCAGCTACAATCTTTCAGCAAACATTATGGACCAAATGAATGAAAAAACCTGTCCCAAATCCACAGAAGTTGAATAGTACTAACATATATGTTATGGACCAAACGTGAAGAACAAGGGTAAGAACTTAAGAATGGGGTACGACTTTAAATAATATTGCAGTTGAATAAACCTGTCCCATATCCACAGCAGGGTTCAAGCTCTGTCCACAGTCATAAATAATATCTGTTTGCAAAATTGAAGTTGCTCCAGTGAGAAGATCTACCTCCACCTGTGATTCAAACAACTTCATTTGTTAGTACATTATTGAAATTGAAAAAGAGTACCAGACAATTGTTTTATGATAAGATACCAAGCAAACCTACTACATGACCTTTCAGTACAGAAATTAAGTTGTATATATATATATACACATCAGAGTTAACCATGAAGTATTAGGCTCAGTCTCAAAATCCAGAAAAGAAAGTTCTAAGGATCGGAAAATAGACCTATGGTAAACCCAGATACACACATGTTTAGCATACCAATGCTGGATGTCATACATATAGGATATAGCACCAGATATTGCATGGGCACTTCTAGATGTATTCTACAGGATTAATACTTGTAAAATATGTCAAATGGCATGTTTTAACAAAATATATTATAAATAAACCTGTACATACAAGAAATTTAATTAAATTGGAAAGGCATTAGTCATGAGAAATTACATTTTGCTTCCAGAACTAGATAAATAGGCATGATATAAACATATCACATGGAACATCCATATGCATATCCATTTCTAGGATTTAAAGCTGTGTTTGGTTTGAAGGAAAAGGTAGGGAAGGGAAGGGAAACCTGTACAAACCTTGTATATGTTTCCCTACCTTTTCCTTCAAACCAAACACAACCCAAGGAAATGGAGGGTTGTATCCTAATGTCCATGTCCATTTCCATATCTGTGCAAGTGTGCATCACCATACAAGTAAGCTCAAATGGAAGGTATTCAAATCAATTATAAAAATGGTGTAAAAAGAAGACGGTGTTGAGGAGATAAAGTTAGTTCCTCTTTAACTTTTATCTTTGACAACAAATGATAACCTTTCAGTCCCAGTGAAACTTATTTGGCATGCTAAATAGTTATATTTTTGTCTTGGACAGCAAAATTGGATGGAATTTAAATTGATATCCTTATTAGTAGGCATAAGTTTATTCCAGAATAATTCTTGCATGATGCAAATTTTGTGAACAGAGAAACAGTCAACCATATCATGCTCCATTGCAAAATCCCATGATCTGTTAAGAAGCATTTCTTTCAGATTTTTCAGTTGACAATTGACATATGCAGTTCTCTTAGTATGATGAATCACAAATCAGGATGGATTGTTGGTTTTCTTCACAAGGGGAGATTGTGTTGAAAGTGACACCTTTTTATTTTCAGGTAGCGGTGTATCGGCCTGTATCAAAGCTCGCTCTCCTGGTTTTTTTTCTTTGAAACTGGTTCAAACTTCAGAGGGGTAGGCTTAAGGCTGTTCTACCCCCTGAATCAGGTCAGACCCCGATATGACCCCTGTAGGGGCGTATCGTATCAAAATTTTGAACCTTGCTAGTAAGAAAGCAACAGTATTATGCCATGGTCATCTAGTAAGACAATAATAATATTACTATTTCTAGAGTAGAGACCAGCATGGTGTTGTCAGTCTCTTATTATCAGAGTCATCTAAATCAATTCTTAATTCCAAAGGAAACTTAGGTAATTGAGTCATACTGATTTATAAATTAAATCATGTTAGTAGAGATAGTGGGAGTACTTTAATAGCATAATTCTATTATGCATCTAATGAGGGGTATTCCTAATGTTTGTCAGCTTTGAATCAAGAAACAACAGAAGCTATAATCAAATTAAATTCAGCATACCTATTTTAAGTCCTCATTCCATTTTGTTATTTGATCAAATTTGGTTCAACTTCCAGTTTCTAGCCAATATCTGCTGGTACTTCTCTGGATCGAGAGCCAAAACATTGATAGGATAGAAAACACCCTTAGAAGGGCTTATAAATACCTCTATCCAGAGGTGACCAGCACTCTTACTTATCACAATCAATAACTGAGATAGGTTGCCCATCAAAATGATCTCAACTCAGTCCTACTACCACCAAAACTTCTCAGATCAACTCTCCTTATTATAAACAAATTCTAATAGGTTTATTCATTATCATTTCTCATGCAGATCAACCCATTATTGATAAATTTAAAAAAAAAAAAAACAAAAGGAAATTTAACAAACACCAATAACCCTCCCATTGTTTGTCAACATTTTTAAATATCTTTCTTTAAAAACAAAATGAAATTTTACTTCTCAGATCAATTCTCCTTATTATAAACAAATTCTAATAGGTTTATTCATTATCATTTCTCATACAGATCAACCCATTATTGATAAATTTAAAAAAAAAAACAAAATGAAATTTGACAAGCACCAATAACCCTCCCATTGTTTGTCAACATTTTTAAATATCTTTCTTTAAAAGAAAACAAAAGGCTAATATTAGGTTGAGTCAATATTTTTGAAACTGCGTGGCCACATTTATTTGAAAACAACCATGTCATGTGAGAATGCAATATCAAATCAACCCTGCTTCTGAATACTTCCACAAATTCCCAATCAGGAGAGACCTATGTCATTAGGCATTAGTGGCTCATTTCCATGGTCAAAGCATCTATAAGAACACCCTCCATAGGCTAAATCATATGTGAGAACAGGCAGCTCCTAAGACAAATTGGTAAGCTCCTATATCTCTCCATGACCAGACACAATATTGCATATGTTGTGGGCACACTTAGTATATGCACTCCCCTATTACATTTCATTTCTCTAAACATGGTCATCTCCATTTTGAGGACTATACAGATGCAGATTAGACTGGATCCATTGATGATAGAAGATCCACTTCTGGGTATTGCACTTTTGTGGGTGGAAATCTGATTACTTGGAAGAAGTAAGAACAAGCTATTCTGGCTAGATCAAGTGTTGAAGCAGAGTACTATGCCATGGCACATGGAGTGGCTATTGATAAAAACCTACTGATAGAACTGGTTCCTATTGATAGGATAGCACAATGTCATTGTTGTCAGGTTAGGGGTGTTATCTTTATTTTTTTCTCTCTATTTGTAACTAAGATTATGTCTTTTCTCTTTATGTTGACACCCTAATATATAAGACAAAGTGGAGCAGCCATCACTTTGACTTTTGGCTTCATTATTTTTCTCTTATCTCCTCTATTGTCTCCTTTCTTTCTACTGGATCTTAGTAGGTGGTATCAGAGCAGGACTAAGCAGAGATCTGAAGCTCCTATTGACTCTTCTTCCTTTTTTCTCATTTGTTATTCTGAAGGTGTTGGAATTTACTATATCTGGCCTAGGACTGGTTGGGTAAGACAGATTTTCCTGTTTATTATTTTCCTTTTCGTTGTAACACCAAAAGGTTTATTCTTTTGGCCGTCTGTTCACTCTGTGGATGAAGATAAAAGGATTTGGAAGAGGTTTCTTCTTACCTGTTCATGTTTCAAATATGTGTTCAGTTCAGCCTGTGATGTGCCTTGGTGTGTTTTTGATCTCCCACGAGTGTATACTTGAGGATTGTGAAGAGATGGTGACTGCCTCGGTTGTTATGGTTCTGATCTGTTTTCAACCCATGTATGCTATGGTGCCTTGGCTGTAAGATTCGTAGTTAGGATTTCACCTTCCTTTTTTGACATATGAGAACTCACTGCAGGTCCATGTTTAAGGGATGTTACATTGCTGCTATTGGTGTTAACATAAGTTAGTATAATTCCGGTTCTCATACTTATTGGGTGTATTGGTTGCTGTGATTGCTAAACTGTGGCTGTTTCTTCTACGTTAAATGATTCAAGCGCAAGGGCAATCCTTGGTGGTTTGGGAGTACTCCTGATGAGTGTATTAGGAGCTGGTTTCACTGACTAGTTTGATGATTGGATTGTAAAGATTGGCTGTAGGACTAAACCTTACTTCTACCTTGAGCTACCCTGCAATAACCATTGGTTTTGGGTGGAAATAGATCTGGTTTTGAACTTCTATTGAAGCAAACCAGCCACGACATTACCATTACCATCAAATTGGTATGGGCTCTATGTGGCTGCATGGAGCAAACCAGCCACGAAATTGTCATCAAATTGTCTTGCTCCCATTTAGAAAACATTGGGTCTTCTGATTTAGGCTTTATTTCCTTTCCAATGATAAAACCCAGCTTACCTTCTCCTCCAATGGTGAGCTTAGTAGACTGGGACCATTCCAGGAAGTTGGTTCCATCAAGTTTCATAGTAGTTATCATGCCATTAGAGGTACCCACGTTTCCTAGAAGCACTCCAGGAACCAAGTAAACATCCTTAGAAGCTTCCATTCCTTAACTAGGAATAATTTTAAGAGTCACAAAGAGTTCCAATGCACCACCAGCATAGAACAAGGCCAAGGGAAGAGTCAACACACAGCTAAGAAGAAACAATAACCCCAAGAATAGTTTGGGCTTCAAAATATAGGAAGAAAAAACCCCAAAAAATTTCTAGGGTTCAGAAAATTACAAGACCATTTCCCATCTTCCTAGAAATATAAAACGAGCCAAATAAAATTGGTTTGAAGGAGAAACACTCCATTAAAGGTGTTGAAACAGCCTCAAACTCAAATCTGAATTTTCTGTGGATTTCCTTTTGGAAAAATCACAACAAATCACAAAGGTTTCACATGGAGGTGAAACCTATACCAAAAATCCCTAAATTCAGGGCAATTTGAACCATACCAGTTTCAAGGATGGTTGTAACCACTTGTACGGGCTGCTGAGTCATCCGGCGGTGGTCTGACATCAACAAGTTGCCTCTAGGGTAACGAACACCAGCAGAAGCCTACCGTGAATCCAGATGAGCTCTGATACCAAGTTGTTTAAGGTGAAGCCAAAATAACAAAGGAAGAAGAAGAGAAAGGAGGAGAAGGGAGAAGAAGAGACTTATGAAGGTGTGTCTCGAGTAACTATTCACACCAGAGACAAAAATTTTATAATTTTGCTCAAAGTACATGTTTTCCCTTACTTGGGCGCCCAATTACAAAGAGGAAATGAAAAACCCAAAATAGCCCTTTCATCATCTTACATTCTGATTTGACTTTGTCGTTTGTCCTGTATGTTCCTATATTTCCATTAAACCCTATGGCTATTAGTAAATTGACAGAAACTCTAAATTGTTCCATCTAAATTGTGTATTTCGATATCTCAAGACGAGGAAGACAATTTGTGCCAGGCGTGAGGTTGGAGGATTGTACTATCTAGATGGTGGAGATTCGCAAAAATCTATACATACTACTACTATAGCGTTATAGTGGCACTGTCGGTTGGGTCATCCCTTGCTTCTGACTCTTAAAAGTCTTGCCTCTAATTTATTGTCTGTTTGTGAGTTGCTATGTGAAGCCTATCAGCTTAGCAAACATCCATGTCTGTCTTTTGTTCCAAGGGAAAATAATAGAGTCTCGAGTCTTCTTGAATTTGTTTGTTCACATGTTAGGTTAAGGTTAATAATGTCGATGTCAATGGAAATGTCACTTACCCAAATAGGACATATGTCGGAAATGTCAAAGGTAAATATTGTAAAAGTTATAGACATTGTGGAAATATTATGAAATAAGTAGAAATATGGAATGATAAACTATAAAATGATAAAGGAAACATTAATAAACCTTTCTAGTCTATTATCTTCCATGATGCATCTCTTTTGTTCTAAGAAATAATTAGAATTAAATCATATAAGCAATATACACCATTTAATATTTTTATTATTACAAAAATCTCTTTATTTTTGTTTCTTTTATGAATATTTTATCTCAAATATTAACTTTCTTATTATTTATCCATTTTTGCATTGCTTTTATAATGAGGATTTACAATATTACCATATAAATCATTTAATATTTGTATTACTTTAAAAACATTTTATTTTATTTAATAATTAATTAGTTTAATTATTTGTTTTTACTGTTTTTTTTATGAACATTTTATTAAACTTTTCTTTTTATTTATCCATTTTTTATTGGCTTTTATGATGAGGGCCGACAATACTATTGTAGACCTTCATACACTGTAAAAGACTATAAAAATATATTATTCTTTTTATAAGTTTTCTATTAGGGGGTCTATAATATTTCAATAGACCCTATTGCACTATAACATATTTCAACAGACCCTACTGTTTTAGATCAGATCACACTACTAACTGGTATATAGTTTATTTTCTTCTCCATTTTGATGATGTTAATAGATGCTGAAGTTTCTTATTAATAATTTTTGCCTTTCTTTATCTATGGTCACCTGTGCTGTATAGACTCATTTTTTGACCCACCAATATCAGTTCACAGTAACCAGAATTCAGAGTGAAAGCAAGAGCATGAGCAGGAGTGCAAAATTCAGAACACCAAAACAGGTCTCCGGCTTGTGTTTCTGAAATGTCTGTCACTGTCTTCTATGTATTGTACTACATCTATTTGTTTTGATTACAGTGATATTGACAATAATGATACAGATCAATGCTTTCATTAAAAAAGGACATTATGATTGAAGGGAAACTTCTATTACTTTTCAATCTTTACTTGTATATTCCTTGAGAAACACTAGGCCAATTGTTTTTTTGGATGGGGGAGACAGTGTGTGGGATGACAGTTTTGTTTACGAGAGTGTATATGCATGCAAGATAGAGAAACAGAGACTTAGACTTGCCTCAACTTTTGTTTCATAAAGAAAGGTTAAAAGAGAGAGGAGTGGTTATGGAGGTGTTGATTCACTTCTCCCCCAAACAATAGGTTGCATGAGAGATTTCGCACAAGGGGGTGGGTGATATAGAGTAGTGGGGCTGTTTTAATGCATGACTAGAATTTTGAAGCATGTTTAATGCAGGTATGAAGGGCCTTCATGAATCTTCTGCTCATTGACGGTGAGAGTAGAACCTACCTTTGTGTGGAATAGGGATTTAAGTTTTGAGGTTAAAGCATATAAGTCAGACTTCGTCTCTTTTCCCAAAAATTTCAAAAATACACTAATGTTGTTTCATACAAATAAAAAATGTAAAGCAAATATATTGATGTACTCACCTCACTAACAGCAGCACCATAATTTAAATACCGCATAGGTGTAACTTCAGGAACATAGTAAGCACTGGCAGATAAGTTAACTGCTTGTAGATTTGCCTACAAGGTGCAAAACAGATGTACTGAGGCAGAGAATTGTCTTCCTGCCAAATGCAGTTTCCACAAAATTTTCCAAAGAAAAGCAAAAAATTCTCAGCACTTTTGTGATAAAATTATAATATTTAGTAAATCCAACATCAATGCATGCTTTTGCAATAACTTGACAATGTTCAAGTATTACAGGAACCGTTTCACCGTCAATGTTGAAAAATCTCATTATTACAGATAATATTGCAAGTAACAAGAATTTTTGGCAATGTATAATCTCATAAGGCTATGCTTGGTTTGATAGAAAATAAGAGAGAAACAGAAACTTAAAGGAAACTTCCTTAAAAACACAGCCTCATTACCAAGGAAAAAAATACAGCCTAACAGTCTAATATTTGATGTCTGGACAACAACATAGTGTCGGAAAATTAAGAAAGATAGGATTTGCGTCAAATTAAGAAAGATAGGATTTGCGGCAAATTAAGAAAGATATGATTTGATTTGAATAAATTTAGGAAAGATTAGATTTGAATAAATTTAGGAAAGTCATATCMTAGGRTTAAGGGAAAGATTTAGTCAATCCCTGATTGAGAGAGATTCTAGGGGTTTGTCTTTCATATCTTTTCTTATTTAAGTTGTATGCTCAATATGTTTTTATGATCAACAAAGAAAATTTTCTTCTTCTCTCCCTCTATATTTTGCCACATGGTATTAGAGCCTTAGGGTTCGATCATGAATTTTAAGGCCGCTATGGTTGGCTCTGGTTTAGCATCTTCGGATGCTACCAATGGTATGACGTCTTCGGAGGGAGGTATCCAGTCAGCGACTATTTCTCTTTCTGAGAATTCCCTTCAAATTACCATTCACAAATTGAATGGAAAAAATTATCTTGAGTGGTCTCAGTCCGTGCGGTTGGTGATCGACGGCAAAGGGAAACTTGGCTATTTGAACGGCGAAGTGAAACCGCCAGCCACTGATGATCCAAAGTACAGGCAGTGGCATTCTGAAAATTCGATGGTTACCGCCTGGTTGATCAACTCYATGGATCCGGTGGTTGGAAAACCATTCATGTTCCTGCTGACGGCTCGCGATGTGTGGGAAGCTGTTAGGGAAACCTATTCAGATTTGGACAATCATTCACAATTGTTCGAACTGAATACCCGAATGTGGAAGATGCAGCAAGGTGAACGTGAAGTAACAACTTATTATAATGAGATGATGGCTGTTTGGCAGGAGTTGGATTTATTTGAAGAAGAAGATTTGGAAAGTCCGAGTGACA